GGGGGCTAGAAGAGAAGGAGGCGCTAAGGGGCATATGCCCAGCTCTGCAACACACTCTGCCCCCCCACCCCACAGAACCACTCGTGGGGCCGCCAGTACTCCCACGCCCTGTTCAAGGCCATGAGCCACATGCTGTGCATTGGCTATGGGCAGCAGGCGCCTGTAGGCATGCCGGACGTCTGGCTCACCATGCTCAGCATGATCGTGGGCGCCACGTGCTACGCCATGTTCATCGGCCACGCCACGGCCCTCATCCAGTCCCTGGACTCTTCCCGACGTCAGTACCAGGAGAAGGTCAGCGGAGGCAGGAGGGAGGGTGGGCCTGTGGCTGTTGTTATGTGTCCTCTCTGGATCCACCATAGCTTGTATGTCCCGCGGCTGTGTATCTCCATCTGTGGGCACGGTTCACCCCTCTGGGTTTGGCTGTTGTCTATGATCTTCCTCCATATACATCTCCCCCACACGCTGTTCTGACCCCACATCTGTTTCCCATCCTCTTGCCCGCTGACCGTGGGGGCTGGCCCTCCAGTACAAGCAAGTGGAGCAGTACATGTCCTTCCACAAGCTGCCAGCTGACACCCGGCAGCGCATCCACGAGTACTATGAGCACCGCTACCAGGGCAAGATGTTCGACGAGGAGAGCATCCTGGGCGAGCTGAGCGAGCCGCTGCGGGAGGTGAGTGCGCGGGGCCCCGGAGGGGCCCTCGAGGACTTTCTGGGTGTCCGAGGAGGCAGTTGTTTGCAGGCACGCCTGTAGGGAGTGAGGCTTGAGAAGGCCCCACAGGGAGCAATGCCTTCAGAGGACTTTTAGGAGCTAGGGTCTTTCTTTTTTAAAGATTTTATTTCTTTTTGCATAGGAGAACTGGGATATAGGCCAGAGGTGAGGCGGGGTGAGGGCATTCAGCAGGGACATAGTGGCAGATCTACTGAAGTACACTGCTGAGGGGAGCAGTGGACGAATAGGCGAGGTCTGCTGTGCCCTGTGGGTCAGCTTCCTGGCTGGGGATCAGGCCATCACAGTAGTAGTGCTGAGACTGAACCCCTAGGCCATCAAGGAGGCCCCGGGGGTTTCCCCTGAAGGTCTTGGGGGTGAAATGTAATACATAGATAGGCGCTGCCAGGACTGTTTGTCCGGGCTCTTGGGAGAGGGCTGAAGGCAGGGCTCAGGCATGGTCCAGGCCCACTGCAGGGTCACCATGCTCTGGCAGGTCATGACACCAGGGCTGGGGGGACGGATGTGCTCAAGGAGGGTACCTTGGGCAGGAGGCAGAGCACAATGCCTGACAGGTCCTTCCCCTGCCCAGGAGATCATCAACTTTACCTGTCGGGGCCTTGTGGCCCACATGCCGCTGTTCGCCCATGCTGACCCCAGCTTTGTCACTGCTGTGCTCACTAAGCTACGCTTTGAGGTCTTCCAGCCGGGGGACCTCGTGGTGCGTGAGGGCTCAGTGGGCAGGAAGATGTACTTCATCCAGCACGGGCTGCTCAGTGTGCTGGCCCGTGGTGCCCGGGACACCCGCCTCACTGATGGATCCTACTTTGGAGGTCAGTGGGTCTCAGGGAGGGTGGTGAGCTGGAGCAGAGGACAGAGGGCAACTGGCATCAGAGACCCTGCCTGGCTATGCTGCAGAACCGAGCTCCAGACTCTCCCCAAGAGTCTGTGATCAGAATCTCAGGCTTGGGGCCCGGAACTTTGTATTTCCAAAAGCTCCTTTATACATTCTATTGCACAGCCAGTTTGGAAATTACTTTACTTTAACCAGCACAACTGGGAGAACCTGTGAAAGGAGAAAGCTAGGACTAAGCAGTGCTGCCTCAGGGCTGAGGCTTGCAGGTCCCTGGTGGAGTGACTTAGGGGATCAGTCTGCCAGCTGCTACCCAAAGTGACCTGAAGCCCAGATAACGCCCAGCCCCCAGCCCCCCCCACCCCCCAGCATCCTCCTGGTGTCATCCTCTGCCCTATGGCACTGCTTTCCTTCGGTTTTGTCCCTGGTGTTCATTCTAAGGGGTAGAAGGGAGGGTGCTCCATGCTCTCCCCTTTGGGTCGCACTGTAGAGGTGGGGTGGCAATTAGAGTGAAGAAATGGTGGGAGCCAGCCAGGCCTGCCCGTGTGCGCTTTTATTTAAAGAGAGTAAGGACAGTGCGCAGTAACTCAGTAATTACGTGGGGCCAGAGAGAGCCAGCGACTGGAGTCCATGGAGTCCCTAGGTGGGTGGGTGAGCACTGCGCTTCCCACCTTGGGCGAAGCCTGGGAAGGCTGGGCCAGCTGCTGCAGGCCCTAAAGAGGGAGACCGGGCCAGCGGTTCTGAAGGTTTTCTCCACCTCCGGCAGAAATCTGCCTGCTGACGCGGGGCCGGCGCACTGCCAGCGTGCGGGCTGACACCTACTGCCGCCTCTACTCGCTCAGCGTGGACCATTTCAACGCAGTGCTCGAGGAGTTCCCCATGATGCGCCGGGCCTTCGAGACGGTGGCCATGGACCGGCTGCGCCGCATCGGTGAGGCCTGGCTACCTTGTCTGTTCCAGTCTAGGCCGCACCCTCACCCCATCTCCACAGCAAGGAGCCCCCGTGCTCCCCGGGTCGGGATTCTCCTGCCCCAGGGTCATGCCACAGCCCACCCCAGTCCCGGCAAATGCCCCAAACAGGCCTTTTACACAGACTCACTCTGTTCATCATTCGGTAGCTCCTGCCACTGGAGCTACAGCCCAAGTGACCATGCCTCGGGTCTTCCTTCCCCTGAGGACCAACCCTGTCCTTTAGCACCTGACAGTCCACACGCTCACCCCCTTCCTCCCAAGCCCCGTCCCCACAACCCATCCCTTCTCTCACCCCCCCCCCACTGCTACCCCTGGGCTCCATCTTGTTCCCTCACATTCTTTGACATTCAGCCTTCGTCTTGACTTTCTTCCTTTTCCTGAATGCCTCTTCCACAACTCTCAGGCAAGAAGAATTCCATGCTTCAGCGGAAGCGTTCCGAGCCGAGTCCAGGCAGCAGCGGGGGCATCATGGAGCAGCACTTAGTACAGCACGACAGGGACATGGCCCGGGGCATTCGGGGCCTGGCCCCTGGCACCGGAGCTCGACTCAGTGGGAAGCCAGTGCTCTGGGAGCCCCTGGTGCACGCGCCCCTGCAGGCCGCTGCGGTGACCTCCAACGTGGCCATTGCCCTGACTCACCAGCGGGGCTCTCTGCCTCTCTCCCCCGACTCTCCAGCCACCCTCCTTGCTCGCCCTGCTCGGCGCTCAGCAGGTTCCCCCGCCTCCCCGCTGGTACCTGTCCGAGCTGGCCCTCTGCTGGCCCGGGGGCCATGGGCGTCCACATCCCGCCTGCCTGCCCCACCTGCCCGAACCCTCCATGCCAGCCTCTCCAGGGCCGGGCGCTCCCAGGTGTCCCTGCTCGGGCCCCCACCAGGAGGAGGCCCACGGCGGCTAGGACCTCGGGGCCGCCCGCTCTCAGCCTCCCAGCCTTCTCTGCCTCAGCGGGCAGCAGGCGATGGCTCTCCTGGACGGAAGGGCTCAGGAAGTGAACGCGTGCCCCCCTCAGGGCTCCTGGCCAAGGCTCCAGGGACAGTCCAGCCCCCCCGGCCACCCATGCCTGAACCAACCACCCCCCGGGGGCCCCAGCTCTCTGCCAACATGTGAGACACCTGAGAAGCTCGGTGGGGCAGCTGCCTCTTTGGGAAGGCTGAGGGGACCTGAAACACTGCCCTTTGGGAATACCTCCCCTTACTGCCAGGATGTCTCTGTCCTCAGCTCAGGCACCCCAGTCTGCTCTGACAGCCTTCTAATCCATTCACCAATTCATCAAGTGGACTGAGCGCTTCCCAGTTCAAGGCACTGTGCCAGCCACTGTACATTTCCACTGCCAAGTAGAAACGACTCCAAACAGGGGTATTCCCCCAGCCATGGGCCTGCCAGGTGCAGGCCCAGCCCACGACCCCACATTACTAAGCACAAGTACCTGCCACTGCCACCACTGCCAAGTAATCAGATGTGTTTCCCGGCCCACGCCCCTGTGTGTTCTGCCCGGCCGGCCGGCCTGTCTTCTCGTCTCCCTAGCACAGCTGGCCATTGCCCACGGCTCGTGTCCCCACTGCTGTCCGCAAAGGTCTTGGGTCCCTGGTGTGGGCGTCCACCCTCACTGCATGTGTAGACCTTCCCTGTCTGTGCTTTGGGGTTGGGGATGGACCGCTAGGCCCCTGTATTCTCTGTATCTGTGGTAGAACTGTCTTTTTGTCAACTGGGAGCCACCTCCTCCCTGTGCCCAGAGGTGTCCCTCTTGAAGCTAAGGGATGGTTGGCACTAATTAGTCAGTGTGCCAGCCTAGATCCTCCCAGGTGGGGGGCAAGTGACTGAATCTTTAATGACATTTTTTTTCTTTCCTTCTTATTTATTCAATCATCTAATAATCGTATTTATTCATTTGCTAATTTTATGCATTATCAATTTATTTCATTCACTCATTTGTTTACCCTCCCTCTCCTCCTGGTAGGGAGGCAGAAAGGGGCCGGCCCCTCATGCCAGTTCCTGTGGGCCTTGCGCCACTCTGTCAGCAGCAATACTCCAAGCCGCTCCCTGTCCAGGTGGGGGCAGGGCGCGCCACCGCCTCGGGGTGCGACTGTTCTCACTTTAAGGGTTTTCCTACTGTGTTTGCTGTTGGTGCAGGAATAAGGGAGGTGGGAGCTGAGGTACCCAGGCCTCAGAGCAGGCGAGCCAGCACCTCTGCCTTCTCAGGGACAAGAGAAATCCCGTAGCTCGCACCCCTGGCCCCACAACTACTCTACAGCATCAAAGAATGTGGGACCAGAACCTTACTTCTCCTGGGTGGGGGAGTTCTGGGGTCTGGATGAGTGGGAAAAGTTTTATAACTGCTTCCAAATAGCTGAGTTTAAAAAGAAAATAGAGACACTCGTTTTTGACTCCTTTCTGTGTGGGAACAAAGTGGGCAGGCAGGCAGGGCTTCTGAATACAGGAGACAAGGGTGCCACTGGCCCAGCAAGTCACAGATGAGGGGGACTGCCCTCAAAACTGTGGCTCTCAGCATCCCTCCGCATGCAGCTACCCCAAGTCTCCCCCCCAAAGGGTGGTGCTTTGATCCCTGTTAGTCACAGCCAAGGTTAGTGCTGCCCTAGAGTCGCCCCCCGGCGCTGTGGCTGCCGGGCTTACCAGGCGGACACTGACAGGAACGTGCACTTGTGCAATGAGAGGTTTTTAAAATAGTGGATTTTGTGGCAACTGGACACAGTTGCCCTGTTTCCCTCTCCCACCCCTAGATGTGGGAAGCCTGGAGGAAGAGAAGTAAGTAACCAGCTAAACTGGGATTAAAGGCTCAGAGCATTTTAGGGCCCAGCGGAGAGCAGGAAGAGCAGCTGGCGCTGCTGGGTGGCCCGACCTGCACTGGACACAGACTTGCCTCAGCCTGTTGGACGGGAGGGGAGGGGCGTCCGCAATGGGGCTAGACGGCAGGCGTGGCATTGGGTGGGAGGACGGAGTAGGAAGACAGGGCTGTACAGTCAGTCGGTCAGAGGGGTTGGGGTGGAGCGGTGGGGTCAAGGGTTGGCTAGGTCAGAGGCGAGGGCCTCTCAGGACACACTCAGCACCCGCATGATGTTGGTATAGCCAGAACCAGGTCGCCAGCCTGTCACCACAATCACCAGGTCCCCAACTCGGAGGAAGCCACGGAGTTTTCCTGGGGGGAGGGGAAGATAATCAGCCATAATCCAGGTCAGGGGTTTTCCTGGTGCCTACGGGTTAAATCGCAGCCCCTCACTGCGGCAGCCTGAGTTCAATCCCACTCGCCGGGAGGCAACCCACAGGGCGCAGCAGCCCTCTCCTGACCCGCCCGCCACTCCCCTCAGCAGTGTGTTTCAGTCTATCTGCCTGTTCTGCTCCCCACTCTGTGTCTGGTGAATGTGAATCCTCTCTCACACACATACCACCCCCCTTCCCTGCACCTCTGACCTATACCCCAGTTCGTCTACAAAAATAAATACTTTAGTAAAAAGGGACCTAAGTTAGCCATGTTCTGAGAACCAGCCACACCTTCTACCTCTTCAAGGCACCCTGGAGGGAATGAGGGGCCTCAAGCAAACTGCAGGGCACCCGGTGGCTCCACAGGGAACGGGCCCCCTCAGTGTATCAGAGCTGCAGCTGTGTCCACAGGGCGTGGGCTGTGGTGCTAAGGAGCAGTCTACATCTGACTGGAAGCAGCACCTTGTTAGCATATGCCAGTTGTGTCTCTAGGGGTCCCCCTTTCTCCACCCGCATCTCGCATCTCGCTCCTTGAGTCATACCTGCTCTAGCCACCTAGTGCAGGCACCATCAGGCTGACTCCCTAGGGGACGGCCCTGACCTCTCTCCCTCTGCCCTCCTCCCTTGCATGTCCCTAGGTCTTAGTGAACCTCACAGAGAAAATCTGGAGCCAGAGGAGGGAGGTGAGGTCCTCCATGGGAAGTAGAGTTGGGGTGGGGAGGGATGATAAGTCAGATGGCTCACCGCTGTCAATGCCGAATTGGACACGGCGATCCACATCATCTGCCCAGACGGCCTCTGGAGGGTCACAGTAGAGCAAGGGGAAGACTCCTCGGCATAGGTGTGCCTGGCGGGCAGCCTGGGCAGAGCGGGTGACCGCAATGACCGCTGCCCGAGGGCGGTAACGAGACAGAAGCTGGGCTGAGCTGGAGAAGGCAGAGAAGGTCAGACCAAAAACAGTGAGAAAGTACTAACTCAGGAAACAAAGTTAGTTTTGATTCCACCTGTCATCAACATGTTGTATGACCCTGGGCAAGTCATATTTACTGGGCCTCGTTTTCCTCACCTTAAAATGGGAGTTAGATTTCTTGTTCTTCTTGCCATACAAGGAATGTAAGAAATAATAAAGGACATGTCCAACGAGACAAGGAGGAACCTAAAACTCTTCTGAAGATACACTTACAAATGTCTCCTGTAAATTCTCACAACCCCACAAGGAAACAGAAGGGGGTCACAGAGCCTGGATGACGTGCTGAAGGCGTCATAGCTAAATTGCAAAACAGACTTGTACGCAGACCTGATTACTTCTGCCACACCTTGTCACTGAAAGGCTTTGTGGGCTAGAGGCAGAGGTCTTGCCTGTGAACCTTGGGCGCCTAAATGGTCTGGAATTCAATGGGCCCAGTGATGCCATCTGGAGCCCCCTGGCGTAGTACCTGAGGGGTTCCAAGATCCATCTCTCCTGGCATCAGTTCTCACTGTCCTCTCTCCTCTTGTCCCAGATTATAAATCTGCATCTCTGATGCTGACACAAATCCCATCTCCATGGGCCCCTGATCCAAAAGCCCTGCCTTGGTATTCCCAGAGCCCCTCACCGGCCTGTTTTGGTCAGCACAATGATAGCAGCAGCACAACACTTGAAGGCAGCCTCCACAGCGCCGATGGCAGTGACCTCGGTGGGGTCTCGGCTCAGGGGTGCTGCGCGGCGCAGCTCCTCAAACAGCTGGCGGTGGTACACTGCGGCTTCGGCCTCCCGGGCAATCTGGAGGCAGCAGGAGGTCAGGCGGGCAGAGGCACTGGGGTGTGGAAGGGATTGATTTTCCAGCCCACTGTCCTTCCAGGCTGAGCTCCTACCGCATGCTGCATCTTTACAGCCTCCACAGGAAAGTTGCCCTTGGCAGTCTCCCCGGACAGCATAATGCAATCTGCTCCGTCCAGCACAGCATTTGCCACATCACTTGTCTCTGCCCGAGTTGGCCGGGGCTTAGTGATCATGCTCTCCAGCATCTGGGGAACATCTGGACATTAGAGCCCTGGAGTCACATTCTGCCCGGGAACCCTGTACATATTACTTTTCTGACACCCTTGCTCCCAGAGTGCCCTCAATGTCAGGGTCAGGTCAAACTGTGATTCAGTTCCTTATCTAAAATATGAGATGGCAGCTCAGGGGTTAAAGTAAGCACTATCAAGCTATTGACAGCCCCTGCACCTTGAGTTTGAACCCTGGCCAGGGAGTTGACCCATGTGGTGCAGTCGAACTCTCCTGTCTCACCCGCTGCTCCCCTCAGCATTGAACTTCGTAGATCTGCCTGTTCTGCTCCCCACTCTGACTCTCACCCCTCCACCCCATCTCTAGCCTGAACCCAGTTCTGGTATGTATCAATAAATAAATCTTTTTAAAAGATGAAATTAGACACCGCAGCATCTTTTCCTAACTTCATTGTATGAGAATCTAACACTGGACAGTGCTCTAGAGTTAAGGTGAGGGTATTCACGCTCATTGTCCCAGAGCCCACAAAATGCCCCACCCTGAGAGCTCGATTCAGACCTGTGTGGCACACACAACGGGCTTGCCCGCCAAGTTGCAACGTCCGATCATCATCTTCTGAGCCAAGAAAACCTTCTCTGCAGGGATCTCGATGCCCAGGTCACCCCTTGCCACCATGATGCCGTCGCTCACCTCCAGGATTTCATCAAACCTGGGTGGGTGGGGTAATCAGGCCAGGGAGAGACATGCAGGAGAGGGACTCTGGGGGATGGCTAGGGACTGATGGGAACAAAGACCAAGTCTCACTTCTTCACGCCTTCGTGGTTCTCAATTTTGCTAATGACCTTGATGCCCTGTCCTTCTGGCCCCAGAGCAGCCCTGACGGCAGCCACGTCGCTGGCTTTTCGCACAAAGGAGGCGAAAACGATGTCCACTCCATGTTCCACCCCGAAGCGCAGGTCCCGGGCATCTTGCTCTGACAGCCCCGGCAGGTCCACCTGGGCACCTGGCAAGTTCACCCCCTTCCGGCTGCCCAGGACGCCTCCATTCTCCACCTCCGTCTGCAGCCCTTGGGGGCCTAAGGGTGCGACAGAGCCAGCCTTTTCAGGAAGGTCAGGGATGAGTTTGGCACAGGGAAACCCCCCTTAAAAACGCTAGGAACCAGAACCGAGTCCCATTTGCTTTAGGCTGTGGAAAGAACCCCCAGCCCTCCAGTTCAGCCCCACGCCAGGGTGAGCCTAGGAACCTGGGTGCTGGGGGCCCCTGGGACGGGTGGGTAAGGACTTAGGCCAGGGTAAGTGTGGTCTGTCTACTTGGAGCAGGCAGGAGCCAGCGGGAAGGGCGTGCCCAGAATTTGCCCAGGGCGGGGGTGGGGGCGCCTCCGCACCGATTTTCTTCACCGCTAGGGAGATGAGTCCGTCGTCAATGTAGATGTGGCCCCCCACCGGCACGACCCGGACAATATTGGGGTAGTCCACCCACACGGTGTTCGCGTCCCCACGAGTCCGGAACGCCGGGTCCACGGTCACTAGCACCTGGGAGCCCTTCACCAGCTCCACTTCGGTCTCGGGGCCCTAGGGGCGGAGCCAGGGGGCGTCTTAAGTTCCAGCCGCGGGATCAGTGCGGCGGGGGGGGGAGGGGTAGGGGGGGGGCGGTGGGGGGGAGGGACCCCCACCTGCTCCGCCCCCTGGGTGCGGGTTTCCTTCTTGCCCAACCGCCCACTTCTGGGTCCCCGGAGGGTATGACCGCGTCTCTCACCCCCTGCAGGATCCCAGTTCGTATCTCTGGTCCCTTGGTGTCCAGAGCGATGGCCACGGGTCGGTAGCTAAGCGGGGAAGTTGCGAAGCTCTCTACTGCCTCCCGGATGTTGGCGATGGACTCGGCGTGGTACTGGGGACGGAACCGAGCGGGGATTTCAGGGAAAGGTGGCAGGAACCCCGGGGCATCCTCTAACCCTGCTCGCCTCCCCGCAGCCTCATCCCGAACCTCGTGGGAGCCGTGGGAGAAATTGAGTCGCGCGATGTTCATTCCGGCCTTGATCATCTCCTTGAGACGCTCCACGGAGCGAGATGTCGGCCCTGGAACCAGAGATCCCGCTCGGACAAACGTTTCCAAATTCCAGAAAAGCATCAAGCCACAGAAGCTCTAATTTTTTTTTTAAAGATTTATTTAATAAGTAAATAAATCTTTAAAAAATTATTTGTTTATGCATACAGATCCGAGGTACAAGTCAAAGGTGCAAGGGCAGTGAGAGGATTCACCAGAGACATAGCGGGGAGCAGAGCAGACAGATCAACGAAGTACACTGCTGAGGGGAACAGCAGGCCGGTCAGGAGAGGTCTGCGGCCCATGTGGGTCCCTTCTGCCTCGGGGATAGAACTCCCACAGAAGCAGCTGGGTCCAGCAGGCAGAGCTGCCCCAACCCCCTGCTGTGACCTAATTTTTATTACTTGTTGCCAACTTGCTCACAAGTATGAAACTCTGTCCTCTCCAGTCAACACCTGCCTCTTCCCTGAGAAGACAACACCTTGGGGTTCTGGGAGAGAGTGTGCTCAGGCCAAGAGTTGTTGGCAGAGATTTGGTGCTGCAGTATGGGAGTAACCCAGGAGTATGATGGTGCCAGGTGAGAGCATTTGGGGCACCTGCTTTAGCGCTGTGGTCCCTGATGAGCTGGGCCCTGCCCTGTCCCTACTCTACTGATATGACAGCTTCAAACCTGGGAACCAATTGGCCAGCCTCTTCTGCCCATGTATAAGCCAGTTCTTCCAGGCCTCCCTGGTGGCATAAGGGGTTACTTCTCAGCGCTATGAAGCTATCTGCAGCCACTGCAACATGAGTTATATCCCCATCCGTAGCCAGGGAGCTGCCCCACATGGTGTGACAGAACTCTCCAGTCTATTTCAGTCAATTCACCTGTTCTGCTCCTCACTCTGTTTCTGGTGAGTCCTCTCAACAACCTACTCCCCATCCCTGTGACCTCTGGCCTGTCCCAGTTCTTCTATGTGTAAATAAATAAAATAATAAAAAAAAAACTGGCCCTCCCTGGTGGTGCAATGGGTTAGGACACAGCACTGCAACCGAGCTGCAGCCTCTTCAGTGAGAATTAGAGCCCCGCTGGGAGGTGATCCATGCAGCGTGGCAGACCTCCCTTGTTTAGCCCACTGTTCCCCCCAGCGGTATACTTCATCAGCTTGACTGTTCTGTTCCCCACTCTGTGTCTGGTGAAGCCTCTCACTGCCCCTGCACTTGCTAAAGGACGCACTTACCCACAGAGACTTAGCCATTCTCCAGTTCTCTGTTGTCCATGTTTTACTTTCTATTGGGTCATTCTCGTAGCAAATAAACGTGCTATCATTTCTTTTCATTGTAAAAAAATACTCTTAATCCCAGTTGTCCTCCAGTTACAGTCCTGTTTCTTTGCCCTCCTCTGCAGCAAAACTCACTTCAAAGGTAATCTTTATTTGTTGCTCCAATTCCCTTCCCTCTATTCTTCCTTATACCCATCATCGACTCCCTCTCTCCACAGCCTCTGTTCCTGTCAAAATCATCAAGGACCTCTGTGTTCCCTGGCAAATCTAATAGTCGGTTCTCAGTCCTCATCTTAGCTGGCCGCAGCACTGGACCCACGCCCCGCCCCACACACCTTCACTTGGCCTCTTTTGGCTCACTCCCATCTCCCTGGCTGCTCCTTTTCAGTCTCTTAATTTTTTAAGGATTTATTTATTTGTGTACACAAGAACTGGGGTATAAGACAGAGGTACAGGAGGTGAGAGGAGTCACCAGAGGCAGGGGGGAGCAGAACAGGCGATTGACTGAAACACACTGCTGAGGGGAGGAGCAGGTGGGTCAGGAGAGGTCTGCCACGCCCTGTGGGTCAGCGCCCTGGCCAGAGGTTGAACTCATGCTGCAATGGCTGCCAATAGCTTCATAGTGCTGCATTTTAACCTGTTGTGCCACTAGGGAGGGCCCTAGTCTCATGACTTTAAGTATCATTTATATGTCAACAATTCCCAACTTTGTATCTCCAATTCAGACCTCTCTCCTAAACTTACCTGATTGCTCACTCTCTCTTAGACGTGGGTGTCTCAGAGACATCTCAAACTCAACATGTCTGAAACTGAACTGATCTCCACCCCTCAGATCTTTCCGCCTGTTTCTGTTGATCCACTGACAATGCATCCTTATAGTCCTTCATGCCAAAAACCTTGGTGTCATCCCTGAGCCCTTTCTCACGCTTCCCTCAACTTCATATCCAACTCATTAGGAAATCTTGTTGATTCTACCTTTGAAATACATTCAGAATTTGATCTGTTTTCATTACCTCCATTGCTATCACCCGGTCTCAGTCAAATAAGCGTCTGCCTTTACCCCACCCCCACTTCCAATCTATTTAATACAGCAGCTAGCGTGGTTCTGTTAAAACATGAGTAAGAGGGTGTTACTTCCTCGCTCAGAACTGCAGCCATTCCCCATTTCACTTATTCTAAAAATAACCCACTAAACCTACATCATCTCCCTCCTCAAATTCCCTCCATTTCATTTCTGCAATACTTGTCCCTTGTCAATTTCTAGCCATTCTTTCCTTTGCATTGACTGTTCACTCTGCTTGGAGTGCTCTCCCCAGACAGCGGCATGTAGTTAAGCCACAAGTGACACCCACTCTCGCATCCCGGAGACCCCCCTATGTGCTTATTTCCCCCCTCTTCTCCCATATCTTATCACTTTCTAACACACTGAATAATTTATAATTTCAAAATAATATATTATGTCTATTACTTATAAACAAGCTAGGTGGTCAACTCCCCAAAGATAAGGATCTTGGTTTACTTCACTGATCTACTCTCAGGACTCAAAACCTTGTCGACCAAGTGCTCAAAAAATATATGTTGCATGAATGACTCTGTCAAACAATACGAGATTTCAAGGGACACCACAGATGGAGGCAGCACCTTAAGAGACTGAGAGGTCCTGTGACGTAGCAGTGGGGGAGGGGTACTTACCGATGGTGGCGATGATGCTGGTGCTGCGGGCAGCCACAGGCTCGGAGTCAATGTCCAGTAGGCAGAGGTGCTCCAGGAAGGTGTCTGCCATTGCGGCTGAGAGCTGCTGCCGCTGGAAGAAGGCAGTGCCTAGCTCCTGGGTCAGTTGGGCCACGCTGGCCCGCCTCAGGTACCCTGCTGGCCCTGCAGGAGAAGAGGGCTTCATGGGTACCTGTCTCTCCTCCCATCCTGCATGTCTGCACTCTCTGTTCCTGCCCTGGGCTTTCCAGCTTTGCTGAATCCTTTTTCGTGCCAGCATCATGTGTACACTTATTTTGTACGAGGCTCCAATGAAGCAGGTGCTGTTAAATGCTTTATCGTTAACCCCATTTTATAGATAAAGAAACAGGATCCAACAAAGAGGTAAAAAACTGCCCAAGGGGCCCTCCCTGGTGGCACAGCACTAAGAAGCTAAAAGCCACTTCAGCACGAGTTCGATCCCCCACCCTGGAGGTGACCACATGGCGCGGCAGACCTCTCCTGACCCACCCGCTGCTCCCCTCAGCAGTGTACTTTGCCAGTCGGCCTGTTCTGCTCCCCACTCTGTCTCTGGTGAACTCTCTCACCCTCCCTGCAACTCTGGCCTGTACCTCAGTTCTGTGTGCATAAATAAATAAATAAATCTTAAAAACAAAACCAAAAAAATTGCCCAAGAGTGTTCAGCTTCCAAGAGATGGGAGTCCCTCCTCCACCAATCCTGACTGGTGACTAACTCTAGGCTCAGATTCTTCACCACTGTCCCCCTGGCTGATCCTTCACAATCCCAGACTTCCTGCCCTTCAGCTGCTGATCTCTCTTGGTCTCAGCCCCCTTTGACGTCTGGTCTACTAGCTATCAGCGTGCACCCTCATCCAGTAGCCCAGAGGAGCCCCACTTTCAGTAGCACCATCCATACTGCCGTAGCCTGCTTGTCTTTGGGGCGTCCTCTACACTGTGAGGCTGTGAGCTGCAGGAGGCCTGGTGGGCTGAGGATCAGATCTGCATGCTGGTTAAAGTGTCACCAGTGTTTTCCCTGTTCCAGAGGCCAGAGTCCAGGAATCGCAGGCCAGCCAGGTCCTTTCTGCCCATCTAGAGGAGTCCTGAGGAGGGGCCCCGTGCAAGGTCCAGAACAACACAGGGGAGACGCCAGTGAGCACAGATCCTCCCAAGCCCTTCCAAGTCAGCAGCAGATAGCACCTTCCACCCCCACTGCTGAGTTCCACCCTCGTTTCCCTTCTTATCACTGGCGTCTGTTGCTCCTTCTTACCTCTTGGAGCCCAGATCAGGATGGACTTTGCTAAATCCCTTTGGGACTTAGAGATCCATGACCAGGGTTGCACGTCCTCCTGGACTGACATGCTTACAGAGTGTGGGGCTGGGCTGCCTGGACTGTGGGGTGAGAGGGAGAGGATGGCAAAACTGTTGGTCTTATCTAAGGGAGCCAGAGGAAAGAAGTGGGGCACACCCAGTAGGCCTCCCCTGTCCCCACAGTCCTTCCTCCAGACCCACTCTCTCTGCCCCTGTGTTCTGGCATTCCTCCTGTCTCACCCATTTTTCCTGACAAATTTCCAGCCCACTCACACGGTCTGGTCATCAGCTTGAATTGAGATTTTTCTGTCTCTGTGGTGTGGCCCCTTTCTTTTGTGAACTTTCCCTTTCCTAACTGAAGTTAGCCCTCCATGGGTCTAGGAAGCAGTAGACTCAGACTAGGGACCACAGCCTGAAGAAAGGGGACCAAACATTTTGATATTGTGGTATAATTCTCTGGAAGAGCTTACACAACATCAGTTACATCACAATACAACCATTTGCTCGTTGACCTTTTCAGAATGTATTGAGCACCAACTCTCTGCCAGGTCCCAAGGAGGCAAGAAGACAAAATTGACAGGGCTTTGGTCTTCTTGTGGAATTTACAGAATAGGGGAGAGAGACTCTAAGCAAATATCCAACAAGTAAGTGCATAACTGCAAACGTTGTAAGTACATCAAGGAATCATCCATCAGGCACTGCAACAGAGAAGCCAGCGGGAAGAGAGGGGACTGTATGATAGATGAGGTGGTGAGGAAAGACCTCTCTATGGGCTCATACTTAAGCCAGAATTTGAAGAACGAAAAGTGATAATTTGGGGCAAGGAGTCTTCTAGGGGGTGTGTATGGAAATAACATATGGCAAGGCTCTGAGGAAGGAAAATGCCTGATGCTTAGAAGTAGTAAACCTACGTTTAGATCATGCATGCCTGGAGTGGGGGTTCATGGTCCTCAGTGAAACTGGAGCCTGGAGAAATGCCTTGGAAGTGACGTAACCCAACTGGCTGAGTCCTGGGGAACAGATACTAGGTGCAGGGAATCAGTGGGAGTTCTAGGAGTTATCCAGGTGGGGAGTGATGACGGGTGGAGAGAAGGGTTAATAATAATAATTTCTTTATTATTTATTTATTTGTGCATACAAGAACTGGAAAACTGACAGAGGTGTGGGGATGAGAAGGTTCATCATAGACAGAGTGGGGAGCAGAACAGGTGCTCTGCTGAAATACACTGCTGAGGGGAGCAGCAGGTGAAATAGGAGAGGTCTGTTGTGCCTTATGGAGATCAAACCCATGTCATAGCAGCTGGCAACAGCTTGGCCATCCTGAGACTTTTAACCCCTGTGCAACCAGAGAAACCCCTGAGACAGATTTTGAGAAGATCCTACAGGGTGGGAACATAGAGAGGGGGCGGGAGAGAGAGACTTCCATGAACTGAAGGAGGTTGCTTGGTGCTGAGATGCCTGGCTCGGGTGCGTTGGTAGATGGTAGTGCCACAGGCTGACACTAGGGAAGACGCAGGTTGGAAGTAGAAAAAAAGTCAAGGTTTTATTTTAGACACGCTGAGTTTGAGATACTAATTAATCATTAGAGCACTTACTGAGTGCTGGAACAGCATTCAAGGCCTTCTCCTTTTATCGTCCGGATAGCCCAGAGATAGGGTAGGGTTGATGGCCTCTTTCCAGATTAAGGAACTGAGGCTAGCAGGGTGCATTGGATCTCTCCTGTTGCCACTCCAAATCCTTTCTCTATTATATTATTTTGCATAGAGGAGCTGAAGTACAGGTTAGAGGTACAGGATGTAAAAGGATTCACCAGAGAAAGAGAGGGGAGCAGAACAGGTGGATCTACTGAAATACACTGCTGAGGTGAGCAGCAGGCAAAATAGGAGAGGTCTGCTGCTCTATGTGGGTCAGTTCCCTGGTAAGGCTTGAACTCAGGCTGTTGAGGTAATAGTGCTGAGACTTAACCCTTAGGCACCAGGGAGCCCCCATATCCTTTCTCTATCCTGTCTATTCTGCTGTGGCGCCAAGAGGCTGAGGACCTTGCTCTGTGGCTTCCAGGGGGTTAGCTAATGGAGAACTGTTGATAGGAGAAGACAAAGGAGAGTGAAGCTGGACGTGGAATTGTCCCCCCATCCCGTATCGCTTCAGATTTTAGAATTTCTTCTCTCTGTGCCCTGAGCCCCTAAGGGTGCTATCTAAGCCCTGTTACCAGATCTGTCTGGCCCTGGCCCTGTGGTTTAAGAACACCCCGCTGACTAAAAGTTCTGTCAGTGAAGTTGGGACTCAGGCCCACTCTCAACCCCAGAGTGGTTCCAGAGCTGAGCGCTTAACCTCTCCTCAGGACGGTTTTAGTGTGAAGGAAGGGAAGAAACTCAGCTGTGGAGTTGGAAAAGAAAGAGGTTAAATAGTGGGGGACTCTCACGGGGAATGAGTATGGATGGGGGCATAAGCTTTGAATATAGAAAATGGAACAAAGAAAGATGGATAAAATTGGCAACCCGCAGGACATAGCAGGCCTCAGGGTCTGGGCTGAAGGCTTTGGGTTCAGAGGCGGGGGGAGACGGGACATGGATCTTTCAGGTGGGCCTTGCAGTTCGGAACTGATTCTGGGAAGAGAGGACAAGAATTCCAGAGAGCCACGTTCCAACTGGTTAACAGGCGGTGGAAGTTGCCCCCAAGCAGACCTGTCCAACTGAGGAACAGAAACTGCCACCTAAAATTAGGTCGTAAAGAAAAAGCAGCCCAGTCTCCCGGGGAGCACAGGAGAGCATGGGAGAACAGTCAGCATGTCGTCAAGTGGTCAGGCAGCCCTGAGCAGGAGGCCTGTGAGTGAGGAAGGGAGCGAAGGTCAAGGGGGCAAGGGCCCAAATCAGCTTTTTCTGATTGACATGAGGCCCTCCTCCACCTCCATAAGCACACACACACACACACACACACACACACACACACACACTCAGTACCTAGTCAGCAGCTCTGTGACATCAGACACACAGACAGACCCCAGTGTGGACAGCACTCCCTCCACTCTGCCCTGCCCTGCCCACGCTGACCTCTGAAGGTCGAGATCTGGAGCTCAGAGCCCTGCCTGAACTGGGGGCCCAGGCACGCAGTTAGTTTGCACACTGCCTAGGGTGATGGCACTGTCAGGACATGGAGGGGCATCAGGAGAGACAGCATTGTGGGTGAGGGAAAATGTTGAGGTGGCTTTACAGAGGAGGTAACAGCAGAGCTGAATGGAGTCCAGGAGGAGACTGCCCAGCTGAGGGACACACACACACCTGCAGCTATGTACACACAAGCCCACATCTCCTCACCCCACCCTCACAGACACCCTGACCCAAATACACTGAGCAACATTCATACCACAAACACATTCATACGCTTAGACCTCAAACCCTCCCCCATCCTCACAAACACTAACATGCACACCCTTGTTCACACACACACACACACACACACACACACACACACACACACACACCATGGAAGTTCCTTTATTGTGCAAACAGAGAACACTGGCTCACTTGGGTGGGGGGAGGGCTCAGGCCAGGTTGAGCTGGGCTGGTGGATGGACGGAGCTGTCCCTACAGTGTGCCCCTGGGGCCAGGGCCATGCAGGGCAGAGAGAGTCTGACAGTCAGTTTTGTCATCTGCAAACCTAGATAATAAAGCTTGGGGAGGGCGCAGTGCGAAAAGGCTTTAAAAGCGCAGGAAACTCCACAGGGAGCAGGGAAATCTTACTGCTGTTGGTCACGTGCATATCTGGTGACTCGGACTTGAGTAATCAGAATATCAGGGTGGGGCCCTATGCTAGTGTTCCCAAAAGTTCCATAGAATTTACTCAAAATGTGTTTATATTTATTTGATACAAATTTGCACAAAGAGCAAAATTCAGAGTTATAGGGTATAGGGAAGAGTTTCTCCTTTCTCAGCTCCATCTTCCTCCCCAGCCATTCAATTTCCCCCTGTGCCTCTTACATCATCAGATTTCTGGATCATCTATATATTTTTTTCCAGAAATGTACTGTGCAGATACAAAGAATATATATAATCTTTCCCTTTTTGTGCAAATGGAAGCACAGCCCTGTGCATGCCATTTTGTATCCGTCCCCTTCCCAGAATAGATCTTAGTCTCCTTCCCTACAATGAGCAGCTCCCTCATTCAGCTCACTGCTTGCACAGGACTCCCTGGGGGCCACTCTTGGAGCCCCTCACTTGCAAGGGCCACTGGGAGGAGAATGACCAGTATGGAGCTAGAGGAAGAGGCTAGGTTAGACCCAGGTGGCTTTTTCCTTTTTAAAAAGATAGCCCTGGAGGTGCAATGGGTTGGGACTCAGCACTGTGAGCTGGCCGCAGCCTCTTCCGTTCGAGTTCGATCCCTGCCCCAGAGATCACCCACATGGCACAGCAGACCTCTCCTCGCCCTCTGCTCCCCTCAGCAGTGTACATAGTTGATCTGTCTGTTCACCTCCCCATTCTGTCTCTGGTGAAGCTTCTCACCACCCCTGCACCTGTGGCTTGCACCCCAGTTCTGTATGCATAAATAAATAAATCTTTAAAATAAATAAATAGCCAGAAAAGATTTTTTTGAAAAAGAAATTAAAGTGTGGCAAAATATATTTAAGACAAAGTTTACCATTTTAATGATGCAATTAGATGTACAATTTAGAGCCATTACCATTGCCTCTCCATCCAATCAAACAGAAGCTCTGTGCCCATTAAGCAGTGACTCTCCTGCTCTATTCTCCACTTTCTAGCCACTGGTAGCCTCTTTTCTACTTTGGCTCTATAAACATGTCTGTTCTAGGCACTTCATCTAAAAGGAGTTATACAGCATTTATTTATTTTTTTAAAGACTTATGTATTTGCGCTTACAGAACTGGGTACAGACCAGAGGTGCAGGGGCAAGGGGTGAGAGGCTTCACCAGACACAGACTGGGAAGCAGAACAGGCAGATCTACTGAAATACACTGCTGAGGGGAGCAGCTAGCAGGTCAGGAGAGGTCTGCTGCGCCATTTGGGTCACCTCCCTGGCTGGGGATGGAACTCACACTGAAGTGGCTGTGGCCAGCTCACAGTGATGCACTTAACCTGCTGAGCCACCAGGGAGGGCCAGAATTTATCTTTTTAGCTGACTGATTTCACTTACCATAATGTTTTCAAGGTTCATCCCTGTTGTATTCCTTCCTAAGGTGGAAGGATATTCCACCACCTGTAAATATCAACTTTCACTTACCCATTCTTCATCTACTGACTGGACTTGGGCCTGCCACCTGTCGGCTGTGGTGAGCAGGACTGTGAGCATGAGTGCACCGGCTCCTGCAGGCCCTGTGAAGTTCTGTCCCATTTCACACAGCTCCATGTTGCATGCGGGGGCGGGGGCGGGGGCGGGCAGAGTGTTCAACTCTGGCGAGAAGAGGAGCAAGTGAAAAGAGTCACGCATGGATGCCAGGAAAGCTCAGCTGCTGGCACTAGTGAGAGACAAGGGTTTAGGAAAGCCAGTCTTATTCAGAGAACTGGTAATTTGAGGTGACCGGGACTCAAATCCTCAAGAAAGCATCTCAGTTTTCTGGGCAATGTACTAGACTAGGTTTTCTTTCTCTCTTTTAAAAAATATACTTATTTATTTATTTACTTATGCATATAGAACTGGGGTACAGGCCAGAGGCTCAGGGGTAGTGAGAGGCTTCACCAGAGACAGAGCGGGGAGCAGAACAGGCAGATAGAGGAAGTACACTGCTGAGGGGAGCAGCGGGCGGGTCAGGAGAGGTCTG